GGATATTATCCTATGTAGTGGGTACCAGAACGTATGAGACAAAAATTAATACAACCAGTGTCTGATACCAAAGATTAATACAACTTTGGCGTAAAAGTTTCTTCTCAGAAGCACCCTGTGTTGCGGTTTAAAGGCTTAAAGCCAATCTTATTTGAGGCTGAGACCTCGTGTCTGAAGGTGGCATTCAGACCAGATCAGCGTCATTCAATACCATTCAATATCTAAGGACAGACTTTAATGATTCATTCGTCGTTTCAAACTACAGTCCAATATTTGTTTTTTCTGGCCGTTTCACAGCGGGATAAAACTGTGTGGCGGGTAGCCATCATACAACGCAAGATAATTGACAGATGCCTGAATCTCGCTTACGACATTTTCAAGATAAAGCGCATATATACAAGTTCCGAACAGCAACATTAGGACCGTCGGTCTACCGAGCAATATCACCCGCTCGGTGGAAGATCTTCCTTTCGTCGTTTAAGCTCTCCAAACTGTTTATAACACCTCTCGAAGTCTGTTTGAACTATAAATAAACCAACTAAAGCCTCGTTGTCAGTTTTGCAATGCGCCCCTCCAAAAATTAATTACAATTACGAACAAGTACCGAGTCATGATGGGAAATCAATTTGAAGAATACACACGCTCAGAAGGCAACCTTAATGATGTACCAGTATGAAATTAATTAGATCTTTGCCGCACGTTACGACGTCCGACATTCAATCATGCATTGGAATCTATTATCAGCTCAAAATGAAAAACCGTTACCAATATTTAAAGTCTTTTATTTATTTTTGATAATTATACTATACTAGCTGACCCGGCAGACTTCGTATTGCCTCAATCGATAAATAAAAGACCTAAACTTTTGTATAAAATAAACTTAAAACAAACAAAAGGAATTTTCATATTTATCTACCTTTTAAACCTTCTCTGGACTTCTACAAATAATTCAAGACCAAAATTAGCCAAATCGGTCCAGCCGTTCTCGAGTTTTAGCGAGACTAACGAACAGCAATTCATCTATACTAATATTATAAAGAGGAAAGATTTGTTTGTTTGTTTGTTTCGAATAGGCTCCGAAACTACTGGACCGATTTGAAAAATTCTTTTTCCATTAGAAGCCGACATTGTCCCTGATGAACATAGGCTACTTTTTTTTTATTTATTTTTTTGGTTTCATGTGTGTTTTAATGTTTCCGAAGCGAAGCGAGGGCGGGTCGCTAGTTTTTATATATATACAGATGATTATGCTACGTCAGAAAGGAAGTGAGAACGTTCAGTCATTAAAAAAACAATGCTAATCATAGCTCCTGTATTCTAAGAAGGTATCTGAGAACAGTGATTCTCAACACCGCTACGCTTTTGTGTGTCGTAAAATTTTACATGAAAAAATATTATCATGCTAACGAATGTAAGTAAACAACTTTTAAGCTTATCTTTTTGTTTGTGTGCCGGATGCGTGAATTCATTAAAAAAAGTGTCGCGATAGTAAAAAGTTGAGAATCACTGGACTTGAACGTTGGACCTTGATTTAATCGAAACAAATCCACGAAATTGTAAGGGCTAACCCATCCTTAAACTGGAATGCAATATTGCGTCACGGTAGAAATAATTAGGTGGTGGTTTTTTTTTTATTGCTTAGATGGGTGGACGAGCTCACAGCCCACCTGTTGTTAAGTGGTTACTGGAGCCCATGGACATCTACATCGTAAATGCGTCACCCACCTTGAGATATAAGTTCTAAGATCTCAGTATAGTTACAACGGTTGCCCCACCCTTCAAACCGAAACGCATTACTGCTTCACGGCAGAAATAGGCAGGGCGGTGGTACCTACCCGCGCGGATTCACAAGAGGTCCTATCACCAGTAGAAAAGGGTGGTGCTCTTCCATATGGATTTACTATACACTCTGCCACTAGAGAAATGTTTTTAAGGAGTCTTCTGTTTTCTCCAAGATTCATAATACACTTACAATTGACTAATTTGTACAAATTAACTCGACTATGAGATCCATCTAGTATTTCCATCGACAAAGTTTCGGGAAGGATTGTTTGGAAATTATTACTGATCCTTTGGCAAACACTTCGATCTCAGGATCAAAACAGGTCATTCACGTTTTTTTGTCTATGGGCTCTGAACTAAGCTAAAGTTGACTGGTAGTTTGCCTACATCAATAAAAGCGGTAGGCAGCGCCTTGACTATGGCATTGCCGACGTCCATTAGCGACGGATCGTATGCTCATCTGACTAGGAGGACTCTTACTGGTGGTAGGACCTCTTGTGAGTCCGCGCGGGTAGGTACCACCATCCTGCCTGCTTCTGCCGTGAAGCGCTAATGCGTTTTGGTTTGAAGCCCGTGTAACTATACTTGAGACCTTAGAACTGATATCTCGAGGTGGGTAGCACATTTACGTCGTAGATATCTATGAGCTTCAGTAACCACTTAACACCAGGTGGGCTGTAAGCTCGTCCACTCATATAAGCAATAAATAAAAAAAAGATTTTCTGAAATTGTATGTTTAATCATCATGCCATGGTAAAATGAAAATAATGTTAAAAAATCCGCAGTCTTATATCGTGTACTGTAAAAAAATATATGAGACTGTTGATGTTAGTGCTGTGGCTGATGACTTCGTAAATTCGTCTGCCAACGTGAGCTAATAAAAAAAAAATCGTTTTCTAAAACTGACACGGCGCGGTTTCCCTAGCCGCATCGTTTTAATGGCCTCTGAATGCCGCCAAAAACGTTTTTTTTTTGNAGCTAATAAAAAAAAAAATCGTTTTCTAAAACTGACACGGCGCGGTTTCCCTAGCCGCATCGTTTTAATGGCCTCTGAATGCCGCCAAAAACGTTTTTTTTTGTTTTTATAAACTTTCTCAAAGAAGTCTGACTCTTTTAACTTTTTACAACTGTCTGAAAGAGCTGCTCGGTTAGCTGTAGCGTATTTCCGTATTTGAAAAAATAATAACTTCATTTTGTTCGGAAATGTTTGTGACGCCAAATTTTTAGGTTATGTCTTGTCATAAAATTATGTTTGACTTTTTGGCGGGAACGCGAGGAGTGAAGTTGTGTGATTTGTGTTAATTTGTCTATTTAGTGTTTCTTCAGGTTTAAATGTGTAATAACGGTGGTTTATTAACTGTTTAATATCTGTGAAAGTGCACAAATGTGGGAAATGAATCAAAGCCACTGGACGTAGGTTCTCGGGATCCTCCAAAAAGTCCACTGAAAAAATCTCAGTAAATGACCACCATTTTACTGAGATTATATTTCATCCTATATCATCTCATCTCATTTAATTTCATCCCAGTTGATTAATGTCTCAAATTAGTCATCTTTATTTCATTTCATTTCACTCCATATTATCGTTTTTCATAAAAATAAGACAAATTAAAATAAGACATGACCTTAAAGGTCTTAGTTACCTACCAGGTCATAAATGAACTTAAAAAAAATATATCTTTAGAAATTTTACTGTGTCGTCAGTTAGCATTTCGATCAGGGGGAAGGTGATGGGAGAGATGTGCTCGGAACTAAACGCTTCGCTCTCCCCCCCTTGCCTTTTCATGAGTTCTGTCTCATGCGAGGCTCGGACGCTGGTCGTTGAGCGACAGGAGGTTTTAGTCGGTTCGACTCCGACATACCCCGCCCTCCATCCCCAGTGGAGGGTGGGGGAGTCCGGCGATTACCTCCTGACAAAAAAAAAACATTGCGATCGCGGACATTGAATAAATTATGTCAATTTCAGGAGTCGTAAGTAACGGCAGTGTGATTTCTTGATGCACCGTAACACATCCATAATAAAATAACAAATTAAATGAATGCGTAGAAGAGTAGGAAAAAAAAAGTTCTCATTTCAGACATCCTTGTCTGTGCGTAAAAATTAATTGAATATGCAATTTCGAAAAGGGCACAATCTCTGAAATTGTAAAATGTTCAGGAAATGAAAAAAAAAAATGAATATTTTCTAAAGCAGTGTAAAATTTAAAATATTAACTTTTGAGATATATTTTAGTGTTCATTAGCCATTGAAAATTACTGGAATTATTATAAAATGGATGTAGGTAAGCCTCAAAACTACATGTATATGAAAAAACGTATTTGACAAAATATGCGACATATTGTGCCCTTTTCGAAATTGCATATTCAATTATTTCAACAGCTCCTCAACAGCTCCAGCTCCCGGAGTAATTTTAGAGAATCATTAATTTTGTTTCCGATGAAATGTACCCTTTGTCCTTTTCTATTACTCATGACAACATAGATATTTGACCTAAAAAGACTTACTTATTATGTTCTTCCCGCTTTCAAGTTGCATACGTCATTTTGTGGGGAAATTATAATCTTTAACGACCTCATAAAAATCTATACGTGCACGGCATTATGCGAATTCTTTGGGTACTGTTATTTCCCACAAATATCACGGCGATTCCAATTAGCCGATGTGGAAGAAATTATTCACACCTAGTTACTATGTTTATTAGCAGTTTTCAATTCAAAACGGTGTGTGTGTGTATGTGTGTGTTTTTGAGATCTTTGCACAGTACGTTTTAGTTCTGCTAATCAGTGAAGAGAATTGTGTGTTCAAACATTTAAAAACAAATATATTTGTTTGTATTTTAATTGTAAAAAGAAATGAGTAATTCAAATATACGAAATTATGCTTCGGGTAATATCAGTTACGTTCATGCGAGATTCTGAGCACATTCTGAATCTTCATGCACCAATTTAAACTGTAAATGACTTGTTGAATCACATGTTTCGTTGTGTTTAATAGTATAATTAAACTCAGCACTATACGAAGCTACATTTCACTTTTATTTCTCGAACTAGATAATGTCATGACATTCCACAGCGGCTAGACTTTGTTAATTAATTTAATCAACTCATTATAATTAGAACGACCTCGATAGATACTCATTCGGCTTAGAACGAATTCGATATTGATTTCCAACTTGTACAGTCGAGTGATGTAAACACGAAACCATTATTTGTTACAGATCGCGCGTCGTGCTGTCCGCAAACATCGGATCGTTGGCGGCGCCGCCTGACCGCAAACCGAAGTGTCGCGAACCCGAGCCGGAATGGTGAAACATTGAATACGAAATAAAACTGACACGATGCTAGCGACGCGCAAACGAACTGTTCGAATTGCGCGATATTGATAAGCCCCGTTTCGGGCTAGTGAGTGATAGAAGTCGCGGAAGACAGAGAAGTTAGGGGAAGCAGCGTTTGCCTAGTCTAGTGAGTGATAGAAGTCGCGGAAGACAGAGAAGCTAGGGGAAGTTGAGTGCGGGGTATGCGCAGGCGCGTTGTGCAGTGACGGCGCCCGGGCGGCTGCCATGGGCGCGGCGCGCCATGCGTCAGCGCACGCGCCCGCTGCGGCTGCTCCTCGCGGCGCTGGCGCTGGCCTCCTGTGCGGCGGCGCCGGCCCCCGAGCCGCGAGCGCAGCGCTCCGCCAACCTGAGCCACATCACGGGCACCTCGCGCACCATACAGATGTTCCTCAAGAATCGGTACCTGCAACTGTTGCCCAATGGCGTCGTCAACGGTACCACAGAAGAAAACAGCGTTTACAGTGAGTTTCTATTACTATACTAGCTTTTGCCTGCGGCTCCGTCCGCGTGGAATAATCACTTTGGCATAACGCAAAATTTTACCCCCGCTTCATTTACGTTGAAAGTGAACATATTTTTGAATTATAGAATGTTAAGGAGCTATTTAAACACCTATTTTGAAACATTCTTTATTGGTGCTCCACTTGTACTGGCCTTACCGTGATGTTATGTAGCCTATAGCCTTCCTCAATAACTGGGCTATCTAACACTGAAATAATTTTTCAAATCGGACCAGTGGCTCCTGAGATTAGCGCGTTCAAACAAAAACTCTTCAGCTTTATAATATTAGTATAGATTTTACTAGCTGACCCGGTAGACTTCGTAGTGCCTCAATCGATAAATAAAAGAGCTAAACTTTTGTATAAAATAAACTTAAAACAAACAAAAGAAATCTGTCCGACGGGGGACACATCAACAAAATTGTTATTTTTATTGAATTCCGAGCATTTTCGTATTTATCTACCTTTTAAACCTTCTCTGGACTTCCACAAATAATTCAAGACCAAAATTAGCCAAATCGGTCCAGCCGTTCTCGAGTTTTACCGAGAATAACTAACAGCAATTCATTTTTACATATATAGATAGATTTTATTTTATAAGTTTATACGTTGTCGCTGTGTTATCGCATAATGTTATTTAAAACTAGCCGACCCGATGGACGTTAGTCACTCGGGATTTCCATGAATCGGCTTATAATCGTTTGGTTGCTTAGCGAACTTTTCAATTATCTATTAAACTTTTACAGCCTTTATCTCTCTAAAAACACTGGTTACTATTACTACAATCATTAAACAGATAGAGAAGGAAGTCCGTTTGTTTTTCGTTTGCCAAAGATCAGCATTGCATTATATCACATCAATTTCTTTGGTGCGTTCAACATCCCTTACCACGGTACCACTTTTACTGGTGGTAGGACCTCTTCTGAGTCCGCACGGGTAGGTACCACCTATTTTCTGAATGAAGCAGTAATGCGTTTCGGTTGTAACTATAGCCGTTGTAACTATACTGAGACCTTAGTTATATCTCAAGGTGGGTGGCAATTGATTTTACTAGTGGTAGGACCTCTTGTGAGTCCGCGCGGGTAGGTACCACCACCCTGCCTATTTCTGCCGTGAAGCACTAAGGCGTTTCGGTTTGAAGGGCGGGCCAGCCGTTGTAACTATACTGAGACCTTAGAACTGATATCTCAAGGTGGGTGGCGCATTTACGTTGTAGATGTCTATGGGCTCCAGTAACCACTTAACACCAGGTGGGCTGTGAGTTCGTCCACCCACCTAAGCAATAAAAAAATAAAAACCACAAGACGGACCGACGACCTATTGAGGTTCGCGAGGATAGGCTGATAGAATAGACATTTCTCTGGGCCTATGAAATACACAAAAACAAACGAAGAATTTTACAATACGTATCGCAACACCGCAGTAGTCAGTCACGTTTTAGCAGTGCAATAAAAAACTTTTCAATCGACATCATTGGCGCGTAAATTTATTAAATCCATAAAAATCTAAACGATCGTAACATTTTATTTGGAGGCATTCACTTTTATTTGTTACGCGTGTTGAATGCATTAAATCTATGTTTTTATTTTAAATCATAAAATTAAAGAAACGAAATTAAATTATGCAAAACCAGTTTGCGAATGAATTGTGATCGCATTTAAACATGGCGGTATAAACACCCGTTTTTTAAGGCGACGAAATTTTATAAAATAGTGATGAGTTACCTTGCCAGATGTTACGGATTAATTCAGCCCATTAATGAAACCGAAATTAAAAACTATTCTTATAAAACTTTCACTTCATCTTAGACCGGGAGCTCCTTAGATGTACTGATCTCAAGTTGAGGGATACGACTCCTAGAGTACTCGCTTCGAACGATGTCGCTATGTTAGTGCTTTTTAGCAGTACAAGGCAAGTACTACGCAGATAAGTACCACTTGTCTTGCTTGCTAGCTGACTCACTGAGTTTGTCGCCGGATCTTCTCAGTGAGTCGCGTTTCCAATCCGGTCGTAGGTTCTGCGAAGCACTGCTCTTGCTAGAGCCAGTGTTAGCAACACCTCCGGTTTGAGCCCCGAGAGCTCACCTACACGCTAATATAGCCACTCAAGGCTATCAGCACAGGTAGGAGAAAAAAACTTGCCGGTCTTGCGTGACTGACGTCACGCTTCCCGTGCGCCCTTCTCAAGACGTGGTCTCGTGGGAGGAATAGGAAGAAGAGTACTACTTCGATCTTCCTCGGTATAATTCGTAAACGGATTAGCTAGAGTTAAAAAAAAACTACCAGATATCATGTGTGTTCCATGTTCCACGAAAGACTACCACGATATAAGGAATAAAAACATTGTTAAAATAAGTATTTAATTAGAAAAAGCATATAAGTATGTATGTCAGTCTCTGGTATCTATAACGCAGGGAACCCTAAATTGGGGCCGGATGACCGTGCGTGATTTGTTCACATTTCTTCTTCTTCTTCTTCTTAGTCGCATACTTCATTGCTGAAGGTCGCGTCCCTGAAAGCCCTTCGTGGTTCTTTGTATCAGCTTCCATTTCCTTCGGTTTTTGGCTCCTCTCAGGGCGGTTGCAACAGAGAGTCCAGTGAGCGCAGCTATCTGAACTGACCAACGGCTTGTGGCCGGCCAGCAGGTCTTTTCCTTTCTACCTTGCCCACCACAGTCAATTTTTCAGGGTTGTCTGGTGGCCGCCGAGCAATGTGACCAAAGTAACCAAGTTTACATTTATATTTATGTTATTAAGCTACGAGTATAATATGTTGGCACAACACCACTATTTAAACTAAAAATAGTTAAAGTTAACTGTTGCCTTAACGTTACGTATTGGTGGTAGGACCTCTTGTGAGTCCGCGCGGGTGGGTACCACCACCCTGCCTATTTCTGCCGTGAAGCAGTAATGCGTTTCGGTTTGAAGAGTGGGGCAGCCGTTGTAACTATATTTGAGATCTTAGAACTTGTATCTCAAGGTGGGTGGCGCATTTACGTTGTGGATGTCTATGGGCTCCAGTAACCACTTAACACCAGGTGGGCTGTGAGCTCCCCACCCATCTAAGCAATAAAAAAAAAAAAAAAACTATGTCAAAAACCGTTTAAGACGGTATTCAAGAGAATTCATGACTAAGCTACTCCCGCTTTCTACTATAAATACGAGTGACTATTGTCGCACGAAACATTCAGACTCGAGCAGCCGACTGAGGCGGAGCTTCGCTACTGTTATCGTTGTACACTTGAAATGTAATAAATCGTATTCATTGGAAAATCGAGTCTTAATTACTGTCACTATGGATGGCAATGATAATGATGAAGAGAAGGGCCTCAGCAACGCTGACGTCACCACTTAAAAAACACCATGGAACCAGCCTCTGGTCGTCATATATGATTTCGTAATTGAGATAAAAAGCTATGTCAAATTCGTAATTCTAAACACACTAATGTAACCTAATTAAATTTATTCTCAATGTAAATCACCAGACACGAAAGAATTCTGCTTTAGTTATTTAAAACAAAAGAACCGGTTCCAATATAAGAGCACATTAAAATTTTTCGCCATTTTGAGATTAACATAAAATCTGTTTTGACTACGCTAGACGGTGTGTAGACGAAATTAAACTGGTTTTTATGTAACAATAGTATAGGTATTTATCAAACTAAGGGCTGAACTTAAACTTAAATATTCAGAATTTGACGCTAAGTAATTCGAAAGTAGCGTTTGCAGAAACGAAATATTAAATACTTATATACCTAATTCAATTGTTTTGGTTAAGACCCTTGTTTTTGCCTGCACATCAGCCAGTAGCTTCAGCTATTCTGGCTTCACTACTGGAGGGCCAGACATAGGGCTATCCTTGAAAAAAATTGCCAACATCTGCCCTAGCATTGGTCCATTGGATCCACGATCACGTCACAACAAGTCCATAGTTGCTTCATCGATTTAAATGTTTTGTTGACTTTCGAATCTGTCCAATCAGGCATATGGCAAATACGTTTAAAAACCATCTGCTTGTTTGTTTGTTTGTTTTAATGACTATATACCTAATAGGCTGTCGTAGTTCCATTAATGCCCAACAAAGTTACCAGTACCTGTTTTTCAATTGAAATTTCTTGACAATTACAGCGATTTATGCTTTATTAACATTATTTTATTGATGGTATGTCATCAACATCGCTAATGAGAATCAGCAGCTTCTAGCCAGGTTATCCTCAAACCTTGTTCCAAGAAGACACGTCACAGCGTTTACGAAGTACGGTGGATGGAAATTTATGGCAAAGCCGGATCTAATTTGGCGAAAAAGATCTCTCGTCATGGAACATACGGTGCAAAATACAGAGAGGACCGAAGTCCCTCCGGAGACCAAGAGGCCTCAAACAATCCGTGGTTATAGGAAAGGTCCGTCAATCCCAAAGCCAGAAGTGGTGGTGGTGTTAAGTGGTTACCGGAGCCCATAGATATCTACAGCGTAAATTAAGTCACCCACCTTAAGACATGAGTTCTAAGGTCTCACTATAGTTACAACGGTTGCCCCACCTTTCAAACCGAAACGCATTACTGCTTCACGGGAGAAATAGACAGGGTAGTGGTACCTACCCGTGTGGACCCACAAGACCTCCTACCACCAGTAAAAAGATGATTAGTATAGTAATTATTACGATCCTTAAATAAATCGATAGCGCATTTTACCAAGATATTTCAGTTTCTTATCTTTTGATTACACAACACGGCAACAGAATGTTAAGTTACAATTAAGATTTGACATCTAAATATCGGGATAATAACAGCATAGAGACGCTAATAGAGCTTTTAATATTACGTAATAACACATTGTTGTCCGTTTGTTTGTGGATGTTTTGATTTGTGTCGCCCTCGGGTGTGTGTGCCGGTGGTCCGCGGCAAGAAAGTCCGTTGTTCGAATCCGTAAGCGCGAAAGGAGCTTTTTATTACGTACATAAGG